CGCGGGTTGAGGGGGGGGGGGGGGGGGGGAAACAGCAAATACAAGTAAGCAAGCCAACAAGTTTAAAGGTTTATTAAACCCTCCGGTGTTTTTGCATATATCTACTGCTAGCAAGCAGTAGATATATGCAAAAAGTGTAAAAAAACGGGGGAAAAAACGATATAAAAGCGGTTTAAACTTACCTGTGTCTTCCCCGCGCGCTCTTGTCCGAAAATGTGAAAATTCTCGGGCAACCGCAAAGCATCTTGGGGTGGGCACATGCGCAGTTCACATTTTCGGGCGGGAGACGAGGAGAGACACAAGGTATGTATATGGACGCATGCATCCGCATGCAGACACCGTGGGACAGGAAATACCAGCAAGGACAGAGGAGTCAGAGCTGGATCGGAGAGCCGCAGCAGCGCTGTGGGGACAGATGAAAACATCAGGAAAGAAGAAGATCATCTCAGAAACATCATTAAAGGTAAGTGCTTTAATTAACATTGGGGTGGGGGGATATTTGTGACTTTAATGTCACTTTAACATAGTGTAGACATGTCAGGTTAGCTTTGCTATCTGTAAAGTGTATAATCCATATAATGAATATATAATGAAATATTGAAATATTATGCAGCTTATAAATAAGATGCAGGGGGGCTGTATCAGTTTTAATTTTTTAGACTGTTTTTCCTTTATTTTTATCTAGTGATGTGGCCATTACACACTTCGTTCCCAGGGTAACAACGCTCACTCACTCTGCTGTATCTATGGAGGAGCAGCATTGTCACTCTAGAACAGTATGTGTATTAAAACTTCAAACAGCTGTCTGTCATCTTATCTACATAATATGAGGGGTAGGTGTTCTATAATTCACAATGATGAACTGGGCAAGGCTGATAACACTATCTGAGATTTCAGAGCAGAATTATCTGCTGAGTTTAGGAAATTAGGAACGCTGGGAGGTTTCAATAGTATTTTTTTGCACTTGCTGTGTTTTAAAAGAGGCAAAACATAGGAAAATGTACATGTTTTGGACAGATGTGTGGCTTTTTTTTTATTTTGCCCAGACATACACTTTTTGGTCCCTGCAACATGCAGCTACCTTTTTTCTGCAAAGAGTAGGGGAAATAAGAGCTGGAAAGAAAAAAAATAAAGGGAAGATAATAAAGAAGGCAGAAAGAGAAAGAAAGTGGAAATGGAAGAGGAAAATGCACGGAAGATGAAGACCGAACCCTGCCCAAAAACAATTTGGCCATTTGCACTGTAAAAATACATAAACACCAATGAAGTGTGTGCATTGTGTGTGGTCGCTGCTACTTTATGTAATATTCTTACTTTCATTCCCCCTGTACAGTACAGTCATCCCGAACAACCAGTACTGAAACTTATATTACGACTGCACTACACAGCGTACAGTGGGTTGATCGCTCCGCAGCTCATCCAATCTGAAAGCAGCTTGCATTCCTTTCATCAAATGCAAGGCATTCTGTAATTGGAGGTGGTGTGGATGAATGTCACAATCTTCATACGTACAATCACAAAACGCCTTGCATTCATTGAAAAAAATGCAAAACATTTTGGAATGGATGAGCTGCAGAACAAGCAACCCGCTATGATCTCTGTACTCAACGTCTGTGTATGTTACACAGCAGCAGCCACATAGTGCACACATTTCTATAGTTTTTGTTTATTTTTACACTGTAAATGACCAAAAAATGTTTTTGGATACATTTTAGCCTCAAACATCTGACTGTGCTTCAGTGAGAGCAAAGCACAGTGAGATTGTTGTGCAATTTGAAAGGATCGGTCTAAATGTCTATTAGGGCTAACAATGTAGTTTCAGGTGACTTTGTCAGGTATAATATGCAGCATCCAAGCCCTGGTGTTATAGTCATATTCCAGCCATGGTAATAGGCCTACTGGGAAGTAGGAATGTGTAGAAGGCAGGAAGGGCCAGATGTTGATATTATCAGGAAATGTTGGAGCTTTGCGTGTTATAATGGTTCGAGTTTCAGCCATAGAGGGAGGGTATTGGAGACTGTTACAGATATCTGCAGACACCCAGCAGAATTGTTTTAAGGATGTTAGTTCATTTTTTGCAGACCATCATACTATTTGCCTAGGATTCCAGCAGTAAAGGGACAGCTTTAATCTATAGAAGGAAGTTAAGAATATGGTGAGTCAGGAACTTTATTGTATTCAATAATAAACAAGTAGAGTGAGCAGAGAGATGACACCAAGAGTCTGCTGCTGCTCTTTCAGTCAGCAGTCTAAGGGTGGAGAGATTGCACCAATGTATTCCTTATAGTTAGAGATGCACCGATACCGTTATTAGTATCGGTATGGGTGCCGATACCGAGTATTTGGGAGAGCCCAAATACTCTTAACGCTTACTCAGATACCAGAACTTCCAGTATCAGGAAGCTGAGCGGCAAGTCATTACACACCGCCAGCTTCCTGATTGGCCGGGAAGCTGGCTTAGTGTTGCTTCGTCACCAGGTATTATGGAGTCGGCTTCATAGAACTGCCATAATGTGAAAACATGCTGCGCATACTTGCTCATTGAGTGTACCATAAATCCCACCCACCACAATGCAAATTTATTTCCACTTTAACTTTACCAGCGAAGGTGGCATAATTTGTGTGGCAGATATGTCTATATCTCATGACTGGATGGAGAGAAATACAAATACTTTGGCAGGTAACAGCTCCCTTATATGGGTTTCATCTGTGTATATAGATGTTTACCTGGAGTTCTTCTTTATTAGATGCACAGTGTGAACCATGTGCCAAAAACAATACATTCTAAGAAATCCAATCTTATCAAAGTATGGAAAAATTAGAGTGCATTGGATTGTCAAGCATCATACATTATTTGTTAACTAATTTTACAGCTATAAAGGATAGCATCAGCGGCATCACTAGAATTTGGTTAGGTAACCATCGAAGTTCAACTGATAGACAAGAGGATTCTTAGAGTCTGAAAAACAATTTGTTAGCAAACTCTGGGCTCTATAGCTCCTAACATTTATTAAAGCTTAATTTGTTGGAGATAAGGAACTAGCAAGCACTGTTTATGCCAGACCCACATACTACAATGGACCTTTATAACAGTGTATATGGTATGTAACTGTTAGTTTAGACTGATGAGTACTTGATTTTCGGTTTGATTTCCTAGTAAACAAAAAGAAAGTCTCTGCGAAGATAATAAGAGAATTGTATATACTGTATATATACAAAATATATGTTGGAAGGCTAACAGGTTAGCCTGAATTTGTGGGAGGAGTCTGCGATACGGCACTCGCTGTTGCTCATTTAGACTGTCACTAATTTCGCTCCGGTCACACGAGTGTCATTGCTGTTGTTGTTTTTCAGTGCTTCCGGCAACCATGTCGCACGTTTCGGAGAGCGAGGAGTTTGTGTCTCTACCCCCGACGCCCACCAGAGGTTCTGTGCAGGGTAGTCCTCCGTCTCTTCGGGCATAGACGATTCCGAAATTGGTTTTGGAGCTACAGAAGAGGGACATTCCTTTCTCGGCCACAGCCAGGAAGGCAGAATTGTTCAAACTGTTGTTCCCCCCGGCTACTGCTAGCATCTGTTCTGAGCGCATGTCTGATCAGACACTGGCGACTTCTTTGGCGCAGATTCACGCAGCGCTGAACGGGATCACCACCTCGTTGCACGAGTTGCAGCAGAGGACGGGAAATCTGGAGACACTGGTCCCCCCGGTTCCGGCGGCAGCGGCAACGCAGGTCCCTACGGGCACGGACGCGGTTATTCCTAGCACATCCGGCACACGGGGAGACGTGCATGCAGGTATGCTGGTTTATCCCCCTAATATTACGCCGGCGCACTTTGTGCCGGCTAACCTTAAAAAGGACATTCTCGAGGGCAAGGATGTGAACCTGGCGTCGCTGCTCGTAGCCACGTACGACGTCACGGACAACAAGTCCTTCGCTTGCGGGGATGTTTCTGTCATACTGAAGGCCAGGGATCCTCGGTTGAACCGCAAGTTGTCTGTGTCTGAGTTTGTTTTGGCCTTTGGTATGTACAGGGATGTGGTGTGCTCTGCGAGCCCTGCTCGTGGGGAGGAGTTGGACATGTATTTGCACTTGGTGGTGGATCTGGGGCACAGGTACGGAGGTTTCGCCTTCTATGATTACCACAGGGCTTTCTCGGCGAAGGCCGCCGCCGTCCTGGCGCATTTCCAGTTCATGTCCAACTGGGGTAGGATGGACACCGAGCTCTTCTGTAGGCACTTCGCGGGGCTAGTGGCGCCGGTATGCACGATCTGTCAGTCGTCCGCGCACATGGCTAACTGGTGCCCCACCCCGGCGTTGGCCAACACGAACGCGGTTCTTAGACCATCTGGGTTGTTACCTAACCCGCCCGGCGGCACCTCCGCGCAGTACGACAAGTTGGGTAGGCCGATCCAGTGTCTGGGGAAAGCCCAGATCTGCAACAATTTTAATTACAAGTCTTGTAATTATCCGCAGTGTCGACTGTTGCACATTTGTTCGGGCGGCTTTAGGGCGCATCCCGAGGTCAATTGCACGGTACGCAGCACGCAGCCTTCGTGACTAAGGGAGGTAAGGGAGCTTGGTTATCCAAAGCGGACATCTCGGATGCGTTTAAACTGCTGCCTATCAAACAGTCGTTATGGCAATGGCACGGGAAGCTCACATAATCAAGCATTTAGGACTTTGGAACTCTTCGTGCTTCAACAGGTACATACCAGACCCACAGGCGGAGTTGGCAGACGCTTTTACCAAGTTGGCAGCATAATGTAGTTAGGGGTAATATTCTTACTAGAGTTGGTTTTTGCCCCCACAAATGGTTTACTTTGTAACAACGTATATTGTAAATTTATAATAATATTAGCTGAAATGCAATTCAATCAATAAGGGGTCATCTTGTCTCCCAGGGGTCCGCTAATACATCATGCAGAACATGGCATTGCAACACTGCGCAAAAGAAGGGCTTGTTTGCATTCTTGAAGATTTTATAAGATGTTAGAAAATCTCTGCAGCTAATGAAAAAGCATATCTTCTTTTCTAGCAGTGCAGTCACATTTTAACTAAGCCCAGAAGAATGATATGTCTTTTTAAAAAACATAGTCAAATGTCTGGTTACCGTCTTGTACTTTCAACAAATGCGTCCAGTGAAATTGTATAAATAAAATTAACTTTTAGAAGTAAATAGCAAAACAAACACATTTCATAAAATAACTGAATATCTTACCATATATAAAGAGCAAAAGAGGAATTGCTACAATTAGCAACATTATAATGACAACTGCAGATATCCATTCATGCTGTCTATAATTGCTGTCCATTCCTGAAACAGAAATGCAAGCGCTGTAATGGATTGTATAAGAATCAGCGAAGATATGGCTACATTGGTTCTGGGAGGTAGGTAGAGCTGACTATTATATAGTAGCATAATACTCAGTGTATGTTTGCTCCAACAGGGGATTGTGGCAAAGAATACAAACCTGCATTTTATTGCTGCTGGAGAATGTCTCTCTTGAAATAATTATCAGAACAGCAAGTGTGGGTATATCTATCTAATAAAGCCGAAGATAGCAGAAACAATGAATAGGGGTTCTAATCCTTCCCCACTCTATCCAAATTTTGGCTGGACATACAGTGCATTTCAAACCTTCTTGTAGTGCATTGAAATGGTCATAGCTCAATATATATTCTCTCACTTGCCTCAGCAAGTGTAAAAATATTTAATGCTAATTAACAGTTCAACAAATCAAATCTGCAGTCATAAAACGTTAATAAGGCATGTCACATACAGAGAGAACACATGAATAATGGAAAGGTGTGCATACCTGGGAAGGTAAAATTATGTGAAATTGAATCTTGAAGTGCTTTATTCCAAAATATGCAAGTGAATGTCGTGTTAGCTTCAGAGAAGATTCTGATCACACTGGTGACATTGAATAGTCTTTCAGCAGTTAATATATAGCTAACGTTATTGATTGCACTGATGTTCCCATTGCTACTTAGCCAGGTGACTTCAGCCTTAGGATATCCCACTGACTGACAGGAGAGCTCCTTCATTGTTTGTCCAGAGGATGTGACCACTTCGGTGACGTTTGTATTTAATTGTTTGTATGGAGCTGTGAGAAGCAGAGAAAAGCATTTCATGCATTAGGGGTTCAGGTGGCAGGACTACAGCACTGATACATGTAAGCACAAATGAAGATACAGTGAACAGGTGTGAAAAGTGGCAAAGGAACAGGGGGCGGAGAAAAGTCTCAGTTTTGACCAGCCTTTAGGGCCTTGGTGCATTTCGACAAGATATGCTCCTCAACATTACCTCAGGTACAACCAATTACAAGACTTTATATTGCTTTCACCTAGGCATGTGCAGGAATACTGGTCTTACAGTAAAACAAGAGGCTCTTCATTAAACTTGCTGCTGACCATTATACCTGCATTGATTTAAACAGTAGTGGTAGAAAATGAAGGAGGGGTTGAGAGAAATCAGTAATCCTGGCAACCTCAGACCAGATCTTGACCCTTCTCTTGAGCTAAAATGACTCTACACTTACAAGGCTACAGGAAGATGAGATGTTTTATTATACTGTATACAGAAAATGATTATACATTGGAAAATGTTGACATTACCTTGTACAACCAGGCTTATTTCTTTAAAGTCTGATCCTTGAGAATCTATAATGCACAGATATTTTCCTTCATCAGTCATCTTTACATTACTGATCTGCAAAATGGCACGACCCTTGCGAAGTTCATCTGATAACAGTTTCACTCGACCTTTATATTCTTTGTCTTGTAATATTTCAACATCCTTGCCATTAGAATATTTTGCAACTTCTGAAGTGCTCCCTTTATCTGTAAAATGTCTCCATAAAACAGTCATATCCTCCAGATCTGTACTGGATTTTACTGTAAAGCGACACTCCATGGTGACTTCACCTCCATATTCTGCTATGTAGCTGGATTTCATGGCTTGTACTGTAAGTAAGCCTGAAAAAAAAAATATATATGATGTGTCAGTATATGTGATATGGTTAACCGCAATGAAGATCACCAGCACTCATATGATGAAATAAATCCAAGGGGTCTATTCAGAAAGCTGCCGAAGGATCCAGCCGTAGCTTCGGCTGATCCTTTGGCTCACTGCTGTTACGGGAGGCCTTCGGTTCAGTAGAACCGAAGGGCTGTTGTACAAGCTATTCACTATAGCTCGTACAGCTCCTGAAGTTGGCCGAGCGGCTCAGTCGAGCAGAAGGCATACGCTTCCTTTTGACTGAGCTGAGCTGAGCTGAAAGCCGAAGTGGGCCAAATGGCCAGCTGTTGGCCGGCTGAAAGCCTGCTACTGACAGCTGATCGGAGCCAGGTAACCAGGGGATGCTGATCTGTCATTACAATGAGAACTTGGTGGAGCCGACGTGATAGCTCCGCCAAGTTCTTAGTATGGAATGATAGTTCAGTGTCCCCTGGTTACACAGTAACCAGGGGACGCTGAACTGTCATGAGAGCTCAGTGGAGCCGTTCTTGATATCACTGCCGGCTACGCTGAGCTCTCATTGTAATGACAGTTCAGCATCCCCTGGTTACCTAGTGAGTGCTGGTAATGTTCATTGCTGTTATCCTCGAATATGCACTGCGCCATCCATGGACATCAATACAAGCACCACCACTATTTCAAGCACCGGTCTTTATTGCTGTATGGTGTGCAGGGAACATCTTTGTTTACCAGTATATGTGATATGGTATAATTATTTCAGCCAGACTATTCTTTGGAAATGATCAGTTGGACACCTTTTACATATTTTTGATTACTAATATTGCTCTTACAGCAAGAATCAGCACCAAGATCATCTGGCCACCCCATCTCTCAATTCACATAAATATGTACGCTTGATTAAGCCAAGCCTTTTTATACTTCTCCCACTCTATTCAAAACTTTAGCCTGAGGGGGGTCAGATTGTATCTGCAGTTTCAACCCTAAGTGATAGTACATGTAGACATTTTCATGTAAGCTGGAAAAGTACTGTATAGGGATTAAAGCAGGCTCCCCTTATTAAATCTGACTACACTCATGCAATCTCGATAGGAAAACCAATAAACTTATTATTAGATACTTGTCTCTTTCTTGTGCTTCTTCCCCAGTCCCAATGGTCTGTCTGAAAACCCATTGATGGCCAGATTTTCCTTCCTTATTTTTTGCTTGCCCACCAATGACATCTCCACTAGATCGTATCTTTTCCCCAAGATCTCGCATGATTTCACAAAGTCTCATGATTTCACAAAGAAAGGGCATTTAGATCTCGAAGTTTACAAACCAGATCTCCCTGGAAGGCACTAGTGACTTAGCCTTCCCAGGGGGAATATACCAGTATGTAAAAAAAAAAGAGGTTGCATGGCACTCACAGTAATTCAGGAGGGACAGACCGACCTAAATCATCAAAAGGGCTTGCCACATGAGAATCCAGCATGCAGTCCATCATACGTGTTAATCCACAGATGCAGATCTCATCAACACTTACAACACAGTGTCCACAAATCTATATCACACAAGAATTTTCAAGGGCACTTACGGAATATAGTTCTTTGAACATTTTTCATTGAT